GTCTCTGTGGAGGCGTTTCAGCATCAAATGGTCCAAAAAAAATAATCCCAGATTAAGCCCCTCCCCCCCTACTATCTGGACAGATGAGCGTGTTCACACAGAAATGAGCGCAGTTCCTCTTTCGCTTTTCTTTTTGGGTGCGGCGTGAAGTCGGAGTCCAGCAGCTCTAAGCCCCGCCCCCCTCTCCCTCCGCCCTCCTCTCCTCTCCTCTCATTGGAGGATTTTCTGCCGCGTGTCGGGCAGCTTCAGGGCCACCAGGCCGCCGCCCACCAGCGCGGCGAAGGCCAGCAGGATGGGGATGGCTTTGGTGACGCCCACGAAGCCGGCGAAGATGGAGCTGCCCAGCACGGCGGCCATTTTACACACGGCGTTCAGCACGCCGAACGCCGTGGCCCTGAAGAGACACAGAACGGGTTAAACATCAGGATCCCGGGGCCCAGGAAGCCATCTGCCTAGCTGTAGCCACCATCACAGAAACTACACGAACTGCAAATATGAGAGACTTTTTGAAGTGTTTTTGCTCTAAAGCTTGTTTAAGGTGGGTTAAAAACAAAAAATGGCTATCATATTAGCTCAGTCTCCCACCATCACAGAAACTACAGGAACTGCAAATATGAGTTCATTCCTTTCAGCTCTAAAGCTTCTTTTGGGTTTGTTAAAAACAAAAACAAACAATGGCTGTCATATTAGCTCAGTCTGCTACCATCACAGAAACTACAGGAACTGCAAATATGAGTTCATTCCTTTCAGCTCTAAAGCTTCTTTTGGGTGGGTTAAAAACAAAAACAAAGAAATTAGCTCAGTCTGTCATCACCACAAAAACTTTAAGAATCCATCTTCACATCACAAAAACTACAGGAACTGCAAATATGAGAGACTTTTTGAAGTGTTTTTGGTCTGAAACTTATTTTGGGTGGGTTAGAAACCAAAACAAAGAAATTAGCTCTGTCTGTCATCACCACAAAAACTAAAATAACAAATATAAGTGACTTTTTGAAGTCCTTTTGCTCTGAAGATTCTTTTGGGTAGGTTAGAAACAAAGACAGAAACAAACAAATTAGCTCAGTCTCCCACCATCCCAGAAAATAACATAAACACAAATATAAGTGACTTTTTGAAGTCTTTGTTCTTTAAAACTTCTTTTGGGTTAGAAACCAAAACCAAAACAAACAGCTGACTCATATTAGTTCAGTCTGCCACCGTCACAGAAACTAAAGTAACTGCAAATATGAGAGACTTTTTTAAGTCTTTTTGCTCTAAAACTTCTTTTGGGTGGCTTACAAACAAAAACAGAAACAAACAGCTGACTTTCACATTAAGTCAATCTGCCATCATCACAGAAACTAATAGAATCACAAATCTAAGTGACTTTGTGGGAGTCTTTTTCCTCTGAAGCAGGGCTGTTAAACTCCAGTCCTCTTTGGGCCGCTGTCCTGCAGGTTTTATACATTTTCTTGCTTCTGCACACCTGAATCTGATATAATTGGCTCTCCTCTGGACATGGTTGAGCCTGTTAGTGGCACTTTGATGTGGATCAGGTGTGTTGAAACACCTGTAGGAAACCGGCCTTCGAGGACCTGAGTTTGACACTTGTGCTCTAAAGCTTATTTTGGTGGGTTAGAAACAAAAACAAACACAAACAATGACTCTGTCACATTAGCTCAGTCTCCCACCATCACAGAAACTAAAGTAACAACAAATATAAGTGACTTTTTGAAGTCTTTTTGCTCTAAAGCTTCTTTTGGGTGGATAGAAACAAAAACAAACAAATTAGCTCAGTCTGCCATCATCACAAAAACTAAAATAAAAACAAATATAAGCGACTTTTTGAAGTCTTTTTGCGCTAAAGCTTCTTTTGGGTGGGATAGAAACAAAAACAAAAGAATTAGCTCAGCCTGCCACCATCACAAAAACTAAAGGAAGCAAGGTAATTTATATTTGTGACAAGGTCACAAATATAAGTGACCTTGTCACAAATATAAGTTACTTTTTGAAGTCTTTTTGCTCTAAAGCTTCTTTTGGGTAGGTTAGAACCAAAACCGAACTCCATCATATTATCTCAGTCTTCCACCATCACAGAAACTAAAGGAAGCACAAATATTAGTGACCTTGTGGGAGTGTTTTCCCTTTAGAGCTTCTTTTGGGCGGGTTATAAACACAGACGGACTCATAGAGCTGACTGACCTCTTTGAGGCGGGGTACAGCTCCACGGTTACGACCTCGATGCCGTTCCACGCCGCGGCGCTAACGCCGCAGAACAGGCACTGCAGCGCGATGATGGCCGCCGGGCTGAAGCTCAGGAAGAGCAGCACCGAGCAGCCCGCCGACACCAGCATGGAGCCGCCTGGGGGTTAGGGTCAGGGTTAGGGTTAGGGTCAGGGTCAGGGTTAGGGTTAGGGTAATAGTTAGGGTTAGGGTTAGGGTAATGGTTAGCGTTAGGGTTAGGGTAATGGTTAGGGTTACGGTCAGGGTTAGGGTTATGGTCAGGGTTAGGGTTACGTTAGGGTTAGGGTAATGGTTAGGATTAGGGTTAGGGTTAGGGGGTGATGAGGGGGGGTGAGATGGAGGTGAAAGCCAAGGCAGAA